GCATATTATAAGACAATGAAAGTGTTTTTTGACCTTGCATGCATGTCAACCTGTTGTTGGGGACTCCCAAAACCAAAATATGAACCTTTCATTACCCATAATAGGGGCACTTTAATGTAACATTACAGACATAAACAAACCACATGGATTTAGTGCTAAGATTTAGTCTGCTACAGTCAAATAGTGGTATATTAACCATTTCATAATGATTAAAATAACAGAAACACAAGTTCACTGCCAGTGTTACCTCATCGGCTGAGGAGGAAGGCAGGCATTGCTGGAGCGCAGTCATGCCTGGCTCAAGAGATCTGAGCCCTACCTCAGAGACTAATAGATGTGTCATTAGCTTGTGAGTTACAAGTGATATTCATTTGCATGTTGCTTTTTCAGTTACTCTTGTATTTATTCAGTTATTAATCCATTCATTTCTCAGTGCTTACTGATCATTTGTATTGTTTGTGACTCCATCTGCAGACAGCGCCCTCGTATGCAGTGGATGTATCATTGCCGCTGGATAATCCTTGTCATTTACCTCACTGTTCTTTGCTCAATAATTATATTAGCCATATTAGTATGGTTGCTGCAAACACCCATCTTATGGATGTGAAAATTATAACTATCTATAGAAATAGAAATTTGATGAATATGTTAAAAGTACTGTTGATAGCTTTTGGTTACCATTTGCTAGACGTTTTAACTTTGTTTTATGGGAAACTATTTCATGTATGTAACGAATCAGTCCACTGAAGGCGAGCGTAGTGAGAACCCAAGTGCAGTTTTATTTACAGTCATCCAAACATCCAAACATAATCCAAACAAGATACACAGACTTGACTTGACGAGGCATGAACCGATCTGACGAGGCACAAACAGACTAGACTCACCGACAGCGGGTTACAACTTCAATACACAAGGCACAATGGGAACATGATGGCTACTTATAGCAGACAAGGAGGGTCACATGACATGAACAAACCAATGGGAAACAAGACACATGACTAAGACTACCAATCAGAACATGACACATACACAAGGCAGAGATACATGAGGGCAAGGGAAGCATGACACTGACAGCATGAAACAATTACAAAATAAGACATGGAAAACATGAACATGAAACAAAACCCAAACACCAAACCCCACATTACAATGTATAGTTTGAAATGGTCTCAGAATAAAATTCATGCACTAGCACTCATATCAATGTATGCTCTACATCTGTTTTCTACAATGTCAATGTGAAATATCTGAAAATGTGACAAAAATGCACAAGACAATAGTGAGGATCTGTGATATTGTTTATTAAAGTGTATTATAAATATAAAATATATTTCATAATTAGTAGTGTACAAACCGGAAGTAAAACATCTGCATTTGGTATTATTAAAACTGACAGATGGATTATTCTTACAATGCATATTACAGTAGCAGAGCAACACTTCTTGAAACATTTCACTAATTTAAAAAATGTTAGGAAAGGGGCCATATTAATTCACAAGTAAAAAATAAGATATATTATTTTTCTATTAATTCATAATGTGTTAAATTAAATAAAATCATGGGGAAACGAAGACATTACATAATACTTTAATTATGAAGGATCGTGTACCAGACACAAATATATACTAAATGATGTCATTTCCTTGAGGGCGTTCATACGCAAAAGGTGGGCCACACTCTCCTGACAACAATAAAATCACAATTATATTATACATTCATCATAAATATCATGATGCCTTACAAGGAAGTCTTAGACTTGAAATTTAATCACAAATGCAGACATATATGGAATTGAGGCATATACTTCACTGACTCAGCTCCAACTTGGTCAAAAAGTCTTGGTGAGAATTAACATAATCAGACTACATCAGTGAGTCCATTGGCTCAATAAATAAAAATAAAGATGGTGTACAATTAGAGTTCACTTATTCTCTGTTTAATTTACTCTAGGTTTCTTCTACCTGGTTACACCTGACTCACAATCTCGGAGTCTTCCTCTTCGTACCACTGCAGCGGCGTTCCATCGGAAGCCCTTTGCAGAATCACTTTCTGAGAAACCTGGATAAAAACAAGTATGTTTATCATTTACCAAGAACAGATTTAATGATAAATGCACATATTGTCCACATCTTTACCTGTTTATGAGAGGGAATATGGTGGTAGGGTGGTGGCTCTGGGCGCTTAATTCTAATCGATCCTTGCCGTTCAAGTGAGCAGGGTTTGGATATGGCTATATTGTTTTTCTGGTGCCAGGTTTTAAGCTCCCCTGATACCACTTCTCGAGGAATCACACGGCTGGGGTGGTTGAGATACTCTCTTAGCGACGTCGTGCGGACCACCTTCGTGTACGGTGGGGGAGGCTTGAGCATTCGTTTGGGTGAAGTAACCTGAACTTGTTGGGGTTTATTAGTATGTACAGGACCAGATTGGGGTTTATTAGTATGTACAGGATCAGATTGTGAATTCGGGCCGAGTTGCAGCCTCCCTATGTTCACCTGAAGTGGTGTCCCATTGCTAATCTTCACTTGATTGGGTCTGGGCACGAGGTGAGGTGGGTTGTTGTTGTTGTTGTTTTTGAGTGTACTGTGGGTGTTGAGCTGGCCCGGTCCTTTATTTGGAGCGGTGCGGTGGTAGCCGTATGGAGGCGGACAGGGTTTGGGTGCTTCGGTGGTTGTCTCTCGGCTGGAGGAACTGCTATATGAAGAAATGGAAAGCTCAGAGCTGCTTTCTTCAGAGCTGCACTGATATAAACGTTGAACTGAGTAGGCCAGTGCAAAATCTGTCACTCGTCGACGCGGTAACTTGGTCCGGCCCCGTCCCAGGTCTGAGCTGGCCTTGGTCAAATCTGGTTTGCTTCTGGGAAGCCTGTTTGAGAGGAGATGATAAGTAAGGTTAGAAATTTGCTCCCAAGGTGGCAGATAGAATAAAAATACAAATGTTGCTCATTAATAAAGTGAAACGTATCAATTAGAAATAGTTCAATGCAATTGTTTTACCAAATATTTTTGTGTGCAATGTATTTTAGTTTTAAAAGATGGTATTAATATCAATATGAACCATGTATTTGACGAACAGTGTTCAGACAATCCTGAAGTACCACTGCTGCCTTGTGTATATTAATTACCTGAAGGACTGTGAGAACTGTCGGTGCAGTGGCAGCTCTGGGGTGGAGGGGGCGCTGTTTGGCTGATTGTTTTGCACTGGCAGACTCTTAAACACAAACTGAGGTGTTGGAGGAAGTTCTGCCATTCTTGTGTCTGTTGGTGAGCTTGTTGGGCTGCTGCTGACACAAAGACAAGAAAACATTATGAAGATTATAAACTCATAAATGTATCTAAAATAGACTCTTATAGTGCTTTGTTCTAAAGTGTCGAACCTCAAACTAGCTAATTGGATCATTAGTGTGACAAAAGTTCTTTAAATAGAAGAATCAAACCTGATCTGGGGTGTGTTTCCCAAAAGCAACTATGGTCGTAAGTTCCATCGTTACCAATAGAGTTCAATGGAACTAACGACAATAGTTAGCTAATGATGCTTTTGGGAAACGCACCCCTGTTCAGTAATGGTTGTGTACAAGATATCTGCCAAAACACACACCTGTGACCTATTACACTACCGTTAAAAAGTTTATTTTTAACGTACAATTAGTAAAAAAAATAAAATAGTTTTATTCAGCAAGGATGCATTAATTTGATCAAAAGTGTCAGTAAATATAAAAGATATGGTTTTCAAGTACCAATCAAGTACCTTTAAAACAGCTCTGACAACACAGAGTAAAGGTTTGCTTATATTGCAATTAAACATCTATCATCACAATACCTTGAGCGGCTGCTGCAGGCAGAGTGAGAAGGTTTTTGTTTCTGGTAGGGCTGGTCCAAGCTGGATTCCTTCCATGGAGAGTTCTGGATTGGAGAGGCATCATAGTCCAGACTGGAACTGGAGCTCGATTGCTTTGGGCCGTTATTGGGCAAGAGAGTCAGACACTGGAAACCGCTGTCCGCGGAAGACCCCAGAACGGCCAGAGAAAAGGGAGCAGAGTCTGAGTCTGTATATAAAAGACAATTTTTTGACATTAGCAAACTCTTAGAGTCTAGAGATTACATTTTAATAAACAATGGGGTGCAAACATTTGTTCCAAGTTTATTTTAACATGAAAATAAAGAGTCGTTCACTTACCATCATCCAAGGCAACAGTGTCTGACAGCGAGCTGTCATCAGACATACAAAGATCTGGATGGACCAACAAATAAAATTGTTATTTGTTAATTCAAAACAAATCATTTTAATAATACAGTCTTATAAAATTTAGATTATATGAGAATCGAGTGGCTGACCTCTCTGCCTGGAAGAATAGCAGGTCTGTGGAGAGACACAGCCGTGGTTGATGCGGTGTTTCAGTATTGCATCCTGCAGTTCTTTCAGCTTCTTCTCTTCACGTTTACACTGCTGCAGTCGGCTTTTCCTCACTGGTTTGCTGATGTGCTCCTCGAGGGAGAGCTTTTGGGCTGCCTCATAAATCTGCCGCTGCAGAGCGAGATCAGCCTCGAGCGCGTGCAGCTCAGACTCCTGGGACAAACATTTTAGGGGGTAACCGCATGATTACAAACTGAAAATGCTGAAATATGGATTAAATGCACCTCGAAAAAATATTTTTCCATGTAAGTGGAACGTATAATAATGCCACCATGAATAACATTTTAAACTAGCCAGGTAGGCTCAAATAACAGTCAGTTGCATTAAAGCTATTAAAATAATCTCCGTGTATAAACTGTGGCCTATACCTCGCCATCTTGTGAAATAAAACCCTCATCCAGTTTGAAAGCAGTTCCGATGCGTCGCCGGACCTGTGGAGGCTTCTCGTCAGGCAGGAGAGGGTAATCGGAGGGCAGCTTTCCAGTCAGCTCCTGTCAAAACAAAGAGCATTTTAAACTTAAAGAAAAACAACGCCAAAGAAAACAAACTTTATGTGTGTTAGTCAATACAAAACTACAAAATCTTTGAGCGAGCAGATGCTCGTCTTTATATTGTCGAAGTGTTCACAAAGGGGTTTCTAATGATTAGGCCCTTAAATCTTCTCTCTGCTTGGCCAATAGTGAATGACAGACATGTGGGCTAACTTGCAAAGAAGCATCTGTTTCTTGGCCATTGGCTTTAGTGCCTCTATTGAAGGGCTGTATTCAGAAGAAGAAAAAGCCCAGCCCAATCAGAGCAAAAAAGAGCAAACTTTCCTATTAAAACTATGACACATTGTGTGTGCAAAGTAATTAATGCTTCATTAAATTTGCATGTAACACAAACTAATTTTTGTATTTTTTAAAGAAATTAATACTTTTGTTCAGCAAGGATGCATTAAATTGACAGTAAAGACATTTATAATTTTACAGAGAATTTCTATTTCAAATAAATGCTGTTTTTTTTCAAATAAATGTTTCTTGATCAGCAAATCAACATATCAGAATGATTTTTGAAGGATCATGTGACACTGAAGACTGTAGTAATAGATGCTGAAAATTCAGCTTTGCCATCACAGGAATAAATTACATTTTAAAATATATTAAAATAAAAAACTTATTTTAAATTACAACAATTTCACAATATTACTGTTTTACTTTATATTTGATCAAACAAAGAGAATCTTCTAGTGTAATTGTTTAGCCTGATTAGAAGTCATTATGCTTCATTAGTTAATTAGACCACGGTTAAACTTCTCTGAACCAAGAAACCCTTTTATGGTCCCAAAGTGTTGGCAGACCCTGGTTAATTTTGTCTTTTCAAATGAAAATCAGGGGTTTTACTGAGTTATCTTGAAGCCGTTTTTTTTTTTTTTTTGGTTCATGGCTTAAAAATCTTCATTGAAGACGTTTATGAAATTTCTATGGAGAAAATTAATGGGAAATATCATATTGCCTGCCAGTTTTTCAAGCAGATTCTGAATATTTGTGATGGTTTGATTTACATGTAAATATAAGCCCAATGCTTAACATTATATATACATTATATATAATGAATTTAACATAGATGGCAATACTGATGGCTCATTTTTTGTCACTCACAGCCTCCCTAATGCAGAGTTTCTTTAGCTCCAGGACACAAAGCTCCAGTCTGTCCTCAAGGGCCTGCTGCTTCAGCCTCATGGCACGTGTGTGAGTGCTCAGGTCCTTTACTGGAGACGTGGGACTGTCTGGGCCTGGATAACACAACAGTTTCATTACACAACAGCACACACATATAGCGTGCTAGCAGTTGGCCTGCCCTGACACACTGAACTGTAGCACTAAAATGAGACTGAGTAGTTCTTTATATTATCTGTTATTTTAAAATGCAATTGAATAAAAAAGCTGGAAAGCTAATGTTCATTAAACATTATATTGATAGAAATGTGTTTTTTGGGGGGAACTACAGCACCAAATTTTTATTTCAAATTTTTACAAGTTGATATGCATTCTGCTTTCTTCTTAATATTAATTGTTTATCATTAACATAAATAAAACAAAATAAAAGCACTCACCAGAGTTCAAAATGATCCCGCTATCAGAGTCACTGACCTCCTCCTTAAAATCCATGTTTATTTTAGTTATTCTGCAGTTTTCAACAATATCCGAGTTCAGTCTGCAGATGTGACCTGTTGATGGGGAAGAGAAAAGACTGAAATCCGTTGTTTGATATCAAGCGCTCTCCATTTACTAATGCTCTCCAGTCCAGCAACCACTAAGTAAATTTGCCTTCCAAATAGTGGCTTGTGGCCGTGCGATTATGTAAAACCGAACTTCCCGAGGAGAACCCTTCACAGGCACCTCAGCGTCTCCTCCACATCTGACAAAGCAACTGGTCTTTTGCCTCATCCACCCCTATTTCAGTCTGCGCACACGCGCACACCCCTCCCAAATGTCTCAAAACACAATAGCCGCACGCCCGGAGTTGACCGCACTTATGTGGGGGTCTTATCCCTCCCATATAGCACCATAGCAACCTGGATCACTATGACCAAGCAGGCGTGTGTGAATTGTGATGAAGTGTGTTTGGGGGAAAACTAGAAGTCAACAGATGGCAGAAGGGACTCTCCCCCTCCCAAAGACTGCACCTGTTCTCTCCAAGACCCCCTCTCTTTCTTTCAGTGCCCACTCGCCGCAGCTTTGAAGTGGAACAATGTGTCCATGCTGATTCAGCCGCAGGCGGGAGATGCTGATAACTTAGATAACCATGTCAGGGCTTCTCTTATTACCATGAAAAAAACTTACAGGCAGAGTTTTTTCTAAAAGATTGTTAGGAATAACATTTAGGGCTCTCTGACTGTGACGTCTCAGATTTCACAGGCCTCAGTATGGAGAAAGTAAGATGAGGAGATACTGCTGTGACATTTACATAAAGTCTTGTTCTGTTATCGTAAAGGAACATGTTAATGCACTGGGCAGAGTTTGAATGGCAAATTTAATCCTCTTACAAATGTAAAAATTTATCAATCATATAGGAAACTTGTGTCTAATTTAATTGAGATGTTTAAAGGGGAAGTTTACCCAAAAAATGAGAGTGAATAAATCATGGCAGAATTTTCATTTACTTCCAAACTTTTTTCCTGTATGAACTTTTTTCATCCATACAGTGAAAATGGGGTTCAAAACAACATTGGACTGTACTGACTTTCAGTATATGGAAAACAAATAATACGGAGACATTTTTCAAACTTTTGTGTTCAACAGAAGAACGTGGCCTCAAGTTTGGAACAATATGAGGATGAGTAAATTATGCCCAGAATTTCATCATTTTAAGATTCAGGAGGATTGCAAAGGATCCTTTCATATCCAGTAACAAGATTTGAGGAAAATATTAGCTCAATTTATGACATTATCTTCAACACTGCTTTTTTTAAAGTTACTTTCATTTCCTGAGCAAGAAAAGGCATATTATATAAACCATTATCAGACCTAGGCCTCATTTATAAAGATGTGCACACAAAGATCCTAAATGTGAACGTACAACATTTTTCCTAAATGTATCCCTCTTTAAAAACTGCAGTATAATATATATATATTTCCTCCCTCCCCCCTCAATAACATAATTAATGAATTAATATACAGGTGCATCTCAATAAATTAAAATGTCGTGGAAAAGTTCATTTATTTCAGTAATTCAACTCAAATTGTGAAACTCGTGTATTAAATAAATTCAATGCACACAGACTGAAGTAGTTTAAGTCTTTGGTTCTTTTAATTGTGATGATTTTGGCTCACATTTAATAAAAACCCACCAATTCACTATCTCAACAAATTAGAATACTTCATAAGACCAATAAAAAAACATGATTGTGTAGCCCTGTGGTTCCCAACCCTGGTCCTGGAGGCACCCCAACACTGCACGTTTTGTATGTCTCCTTAATCAAACACACCTGATTCAGGTCATCAGCTCATTAGTAGAGACTCCAAGACCTGAAATTGGTGCATCATAGAAAGGAGACATGCAAAATGTGCAGTGTTGGGGTGCCTCAAGGACCAGGTTTGGGAACCACTGGTGTAGCCTAGTGAACCAAACTGAGAGACCATTTTGAAGGCTCAGGAAACCTTTGCAGGTGTTTTGAGTTGATTAGCTGATTGGCATGTCACCATATTCTAATTTGTTGAGATAGTGAATTGGTGGGTTTTTGTTAAATGTGAGCCAAAATCATCACAATTAAAAGAACCAAAGACTTCAACTACTTCAGTCTGTGTGCATTGAATTTATTTAATACACGAGTTTCACAATTTGAGTTGAATTACTGAAATAAATGAACTTTTCCACGACATTATAATTTATTGAGATGCACCTGTAAGTGACATAATGATCACAAAGCAGTTGTTATATTATAATGTATATTGTGTATAATTTATATTTCACATATCGGATGAAATCCATGGAATTTAGGATCAAATCCGATCGTATGTGTGTTTTATAAATAGGGCCCATGGCTCCTTGTTATATCTAATGAGCTCTGGTGTCATGCACGCAAAAATCTAGGACAGACACTGTATTTATATAAATGCTATTTTGGGGGGAAATCTCACATCACTAGGGACAACATCTCTGCTAATGAGTCAGTGTGGATCCTTATCATTCCTCTTCCTGAGTTCTGAGAAAGAAAATTGAACAGGATGTGATTGTGGAGCTTCTAAAGACTCCATCCTCATTCAGTTCTGTAACTCACATGGATGGATGCAGCTCAGCACAATAGAAACCAGCCTGCTCCATCAGACACTCCAACGACTGAAAGAGTACAAGCAAAGCTCTGTCAACAAGCTTGAGTGGCCAGTTTGCTGAGAGGACAGTATCTGCTGATACAACAAGACAGTCAGTAAGAGAGGGCAAAAGAAAGGCTGATGAAACTGCAGCAGGAATTAGGTCACTGTGACAAACTGTGCTTTATTAAACAAAAAGTAACTCCCAATATTAGTTCACCCCAAAATTATAATTCTGCCATCATTTACTCACCCTCATGTCAATGAAAACTTTCTGCCATGCAACACAAAGAATGATTGAAAACTGTGCTGGCTGCACTTTCCATGCAATTACAATTCAATTATTCAAATAAGGAATAATGAATGATTTTGGTATTTTTTTCCTTGCACAAAGAAATTGAGACTTCAGAAGACATGTCTTTTTAATGCATGGAACTTGTGAAGACAAATTATAACAATTGTATTTCCACTGTAGTAAGTGTTGTATCTAATTATAATGCAATCCTGCCATGTCAATATAGCACATGGGTCGAAGTTTCTGATAGATTTGTGGTGTTTTTGCGTAATTTTTTAAAGCTTCAGTCCCCATTCATTGTAGATGAAGACTGTATATATGCACCAAGACCGTTAACTCGTATTACTATGATTAGGAGAAACTGCAATGCGCAATAAAGCTGACATAAATCCTGCCTTCTAAATAAAAGACCCAACTGACACATTTCCAGATGTTCCTACAGTTTTTCTGAAATTTCAGAATAAATTTTAGTACATACATGGTGAATCATGATTTATTCATGAAAACATTCATACGCAGGTTTAATAAAGAAATTTGCCCAACATTTGTGGGATAGTTCATGTTTGATTTTATTCCTGATTTGAAATGTTATTTAAATGTGAGTTTGGCAAGCAGTTTTTGAGATTTAAATATTTCCCCATTCAAGTAGACAGGAGATGACATTGCATGCCTAAGGTTGCCCAAATGGCCGCTAAATGACTTTCCTTGAAAGGGACTTTGTTGTAAACGTGAAAAAGATCAATCAGCACAATCTTCAGAACTTCTCCTTTTTTGTTCCACAGAAGAAAGGAAATCATAAGGGGATGACTAAATGATGACAGATTTTAATTTTTGGATGACCTATTCCTTCAAATCCACAAACTTCACTTGCAAAGATCTCCACCCTGAAAACACATTAGGCCTCTCTTGATTACAAAAGCACATTAAGCTCAGAAGAACAGACAGGACGTAGTCTTCTCGACAGCGATCTCAGCAGCAGCAGAATAACACAACAGATCCATCCATCCTCTCACACAGTCAAGCGTAAAGATGAGACATCAATGAATAAGACCATTTTCAGTAGTCTGCAATTCTCATGTCTTCTCCGCCAGATTCCCCAACACCCTTTCCCACGAGCCTATGGGGCTGTGATCTATTGGAATGCCTACTCGGCCAATTTCATTACCACTGCGGCCAGGTCTGGAATTCCCAGAGAGGGCCAGCGCTTGGAAAGTCTGATGGGAGACTTGAACGCGACCCAGAATGTATGCGAAGCCTGTTATTATAGAAATGCTGAATCGTGTGGACGCAAATGATATGGGAGTGACAGAATTTAGTGTGTGACTTATTTCCACAGCTGGTGCAAAGCCAAAAACCAGTCAAATTTGAATGAAGCCATGCAAAACATGGCGGAGAGCGATAAAGAGATATAGAGAGAGAGAGAGAGAGTGTGAAGAGACTTGAAAGGCAGTCTTTGTGATTCCACTTCTCTCCTTTCACTATGCCACTCAGTGAAGATGAAACAATTAATCAAAATGCATGACAAAAAAGCCTCTCTAAGACGAAAACACCTTTAGCTAAAAAAAAAGTTTCTCTGCCATTGTAAACAGACTCATTCTCCTTTATGAATGGACATCCACTTCCATCTGTATTCCAGTAGAAAGTCAATCAAGATATACTATGGATCTCGGGGGAAGAAAAGATCAACCCTGATAGCCTTTATACAAATAGCAATGGTTGTAACTGTATGCAAAATGTTCCTTTTAATTAACTTTTAACAGACTTAATATTTAGAATGGCTGTACCAATATCAGTTGATCTGGATCTATGATAACACTCGCAAGCACTAAGAAATATGTCTTTTGATTGCATGAAGTTTGTGAGGACAAATAAGAAATTACTTGTCTTTCTATTGTAGTACGTTTTCCATCTAATCAATCATAATGCAATCATACCATCAACATCCAAACCAACTCGGGGCCCATAAAAATATCATGCATTTGATTTTAGAAGTGACAGTCTTTAATAATTTGCATGCTTTGAAAGGGTTGGATGACCTTACTAAGCAGCACTAGTCCATGCAATGAAATAACCAGCATTTAATGTCTGTTGTAAATATAGGTTTAGATCCTAAAAACATAAATGCACTCAACAAAAATATTTAAGAACATAAGCACAGAGCTTATCAAAGAATTAACGCATGCCTTTAAATGAATGATTTCATGGAGCTATTGTGGAAAGCTTTAACATAAAATATAATGTCCACATATGAAATACATATGCGCCAGCGCCACAAAAGGATAATGCATAAATGTAATATTTATTATGAATACAAATATTTATCTTTACCTTACCTTACTTAAGTACCTTATGCAGTATCCAACCCAATACACGCCCTCCGTTCACTGCATTCCCGCAGATGCGCGTGTGCCGGCGGACTCCACAGTGCGGCTGGATGTGGAGTCTTTACTCAAGCCAGCCAAAAGCCACTGGACTGTACCAACCGTATTAGCGAAGTGGGAGTGTGCCATATAGCTGAAATATTCTCCAGTTCGTATTTATAAAAGTAAACTTACGTATTAAAATTAATAGACGCCTACTTAAAATTTTAAAGAGGAACATTTTTAAATTGTGCTTGTAAACAAGTTTAAAGATACAAAACAGGGCGATACCACTGCAACCATCCCCTATCGCGAATGTTTGTCTAGATGCTTCGTAAGCGTGCGTGAACTTTTGAAGGCAGCGCACGCTTCTTTTGGGATAGGCGTGTCTAACAGAGCCAGCGGGAGAAAACCGAGACAATAACGAGTTAAACAAGAGGACAGCTGGCCAATAGCGCATTGGACTGTATGAATAGTGTCTGAAATGGCGCGCTTCCACACAACTTGATTGTTGTCTTGCGTGGCGACAAGCCCGATACTGTACAAAGTAATTTGCTGAAAGAGTTTTTGACGTAACTATTGTCAGCATGTAAAGATATATACAATTTTGAGAGCACAGCATGGCTCGAGTTTCTTCCTTCAAACGTTTCTTTGTTGATTTGCGTCCTATTTGCCTCCTGTTGTTACCTTCCTGATAAAGGAGGGCTACGGCAGATGGTCAGGCTTTCTTTCCTCGTGCCTCTCCCTGAATTTAAAGATCAGCTAATTAAACGGGGGCATTTCCATATGAAAGGAAGAGTCCGTGGAGATTTCTCTCCGCACTGGCGATGTGCAGAAGAGTGTGGAAAGCCGTTGTAACATTTAATCTTTAAGCCGTACTAGTATCTATTTTCATGGTACTAGTACCTACTTGCGTCCTATTTGCCTCCTGTTGTTACCTACCTGATAAAGGAGGGCTACGGCAGATGGTCTATGGAAAGCCGTTTTAACATTTAATCTATAAACAGCACTAGTAGCTAATTTAACATTACTAGTACTTATTTTTTAGATACTAGTATCTTTTCCATTAAGTACTAGTACTTATTCATTAACTACTAGTGCTTATTCTTTAGGTACTAGTGCTTTATTCATTAGATACTAGTACTTATTGATTACATACTAGTACTTATTCATTAGGTCCAATGCTTATTCTTTAGCTACTAGTGCTTATTCTTTAGGTACTAGTGCTTATTCTTTAGCTACTAGTGCTGTTTATAGATTAAATGTTAAAACGGCTTGCCATAACTAGTCATAACATAAGACGAGTAAAAAAGCAGATCTGACTAGTAAGATAAGAATTGTTACTAGTAGTAATTACAAAAGATACTAGTGTCTAATAAATAAGTACTAGTATTTAATCAATAAGTACTAGTATTTAATCAATAAGTACTAGTATTTAATCAATAAGTACTAGTATTTAATCAATAAGTACTAGTATTTAATCAATAAGTACTAGTATTTAATCAATAAGTACTAGTATTTAATCAATAAGTACTAGTATTTAATCAATAAGTACTAGTATTTAATCAATAAGTACTAGTATTTAATCAATAAGTACTAGTATTTAATCAATAAGTACTAGTATTTAATCAATAAGTACTAGTATTTAATCAATAAGTACTAGTATTTAATCAATAAGTACTAGTATTTAATCAATAAGTACTAGTATTTAATCAATAAGTACTAGTATTTAATCAATAAGTACTAGTATTTAATCAATAAGTACTAGTATTTAATCAATAAGTACTAGTATTTAATCAATAAGTACTAGTATTTAATCAATAAGTACTAGTATTTAATCAATAAGTACTAGTATTTAATCAATAAGTACTAGTATTTAATCAATAAGTACTAGTATTTAATCAATAAGTACTAGTATTTAATCAATAAGTACTAGTATTTAATCAATAAGTACTAGTATTTAATCAATAAGTACTAGTATTTAATCAATAAGTACTAGTATTTAATCAATAAGTACTAGTATTTAATCAATAAGTACTAGTATTTAATCAATAAGTACTAGTATTTAATCAATAAGTACTAGTATTTAATCAATAAGTACTAGTATTTAATCAATAAGTACTAGTATTTAATCAATAAGTACTAGTATTTAATCAATAAGTACTAGTATTTAATCAATAAGTACTAGTATTTAATCAATAAGTACTAGTATTTAATCAATAAGTACTAGTATTTAATCAATAAGTACTAGTATTTAATCAATAAGTACTAGTATTTAATCAATAAGTACTAGTATTTAATCAATAAGTACTAGTATTTAATCAATAAGTACTAGTATTTAATCAATAAGTACTAGTATTTAATCAATAAGTACTAGTATTTAATCAATAAGTACTAGTATTTAATCAATAAGTACTAGTATTTAATCAATAAGTACTAGTATTTAATCAATAAGTACTAGTATTTAATCAATAAGTACTAGTATTTAATCAATAAGTACTAGTATTTAATCAATAAGTACTAGTATTTAATCAATAAGTACTAGTATTTAATCAATAAGTACTAGTATTTAATCAATAAGTACTAGTATTTAATCAATAAGTACTAGTATTTAATCAATAAGTACTAGTATTTAATCAATAAGTACTAGTATTTAATCAATAAGTACTAGTATTTAATCAATAAGTACTAGTATTTAATCAATAAGTACTAGTATTTAATCAATAAGTACTAGTATTTAATCAATAAGTACTAGTATTTAATCAATAAGTACTAGTATTTAATCAATAAGTACTAGTATTTAATCAATAAGTACTAGTATTTAATCAATAAGTACTAGTATTTAATCAATAAGTACTAGTATTTAATCAATAAGTACTAGTATTTAATCAATAAGTACTAGTATTTAATCAATAAGTACTAGTATTTAATCAATAAGTACTAGTATTTAATCAATAAGTACTAGTATTTAATCAATAAGTACTAGTATTTAATCAATAAGTACTAGTATTTAATCAATAAGTACTAGTATTTAATCAATAAGTACTAGTATTTAATCAATAAGTACTAGTATTTAATCA